TTTGAGAACCAATAGATTGTGACCCAGAGTGTGAAAAACACTAATCTAGAAAAAGTCCAAATTGATCATGGACAAACAGAAGCAAGTCAATCCAAGTGGTAAGTATATTCTCTGAATGAGTTTTCCTTTGGTTCTTTGGTTATTTCTGAGTGAGGAGGGTATTTAGGCTAACCCCCTAGCAATAATTTAACATCAGGTCATGATTCCTGGTGTTGCATTGTAGGATAAATACTGGACTACTAACCTCAAGGCTGGCAGATCATACCCACCAACTGCTTTTGGGAAACCCTATGCAGGACTGTTATGAGTCAAATGGACTCAATGGCACTTAACACCAACAATTAGTCTAGGTCAATCCATGCAAGGCATTCCACATGTCCTAAATTGGTTCTATCAGACAGAAGAGAAGGACTTCTATTGCAAGGTTGAACAAGAGGGTTTCTCTCTCCTGGATATGAGCTAGGAATGCTACTGGCAGGTATCTTGCAAACAGTGGGGAGAAAAAAATTAACTTGGCTGCTTGATGACAATGAGTCACTAATTGTACCAGGTGTGAAGCCTCTGGAGCCTCTGAGAGGGCTTATCACTGGGCTGCTACCTGAAAGGTGGATAGCTGGAATCCCAGAGGTACCTGGGGGGAAAAAAGGGTCTGGCAACCTACTTCTGAAAAATCAGAAGAACACTTTACATAGTATTTACAAAAGCATTCTGGTTTTGAAATGATCAGTATCCTGGTGGTGGTGGTGAGTTGATGGGTACCATTTTTCTCAGCTATTCTCCAAGTTTTCTATATTTTCTCTGGGATTCTTCAAGTTTTCTATACTTTTCACTTGTACAGTCAGTAGAAAAGCTGGTGAATACTACATTTGACCAATTCAAAATAAAATTATCTTAATCCTTGAGAACTTGCTTCACATTTACTTTCCTGCCTGCCTATCAAAAGAGCTATCAGATGCACTTGAGATACAGTGACATGAAAATGAAAAGCAAAAGGAGAGGCACAGGAAGCAAGAATAGAAACAAGATGCAAAATCAATGTTCTAGACAAGAAAGTCAGCTTACTTTTCTTAATGGAGAAGAGAGGAGAAAAACTCCAAGGGCCTTTGAAAAATAAAAAGAGGTCAAATGGTCAAATTAAATAAAACACTATTTAATTAGTAGTGTTTGTGGAGCACTTTCTTGTGGAGCACTCTCTCATGGGCTGATATGAGGGAATTATTTTAGAAACTCCCAAAGAAACACTACACATGTATATTTTTAAAATTTAAGCCTCTAAGGTAATATACGATATTAAAGGAAAAAGTTGAAGGTGCATTGAAGGAATTGGCAAAGAACAAGGCACCAGGAATTGATGGAATAAAAATTGAAACCTTCAAGAAAGTGAGGCGGCACTGGAGGCATTCACTCATCATCTCTGCCAAGAAATTTGACTGATTGGAAGAGATCCGATTTGTACCCATTCCAAAGAGAGGTGACCTAATGGGATGCGGAAATCATGGGACAATATCTTTGATATCCCATGCGAATAAAGTTTTACTAAAGGTTATGTTACCTTTAGAAATGACTGCAAGCATACATCGACAGAAAACTTCCAGAGGTTCAAGCCGGATTCAGAAGAGGACGAGGAACGAGGGATTTCGTTGATGATGTCCAATGCATCTTGGCTAAAAGTAGAGAATTCAAGAAAGATGTTTACCTGCACTTTATTGACTACACAAAGGCTTTCGATTGTGTGGATCATGACAA